GTCAAAGTTAGCTTTTCAGGAGAGCAGGAATAGCTTTTTGTTTCTAAGACAGCAAACAACAAATAACATACGGTTTACACTAGTGGTCCTCAACCTTCCTAAAGCTGCAACCCTTTAATACAGTTCCTCATGTTGTGGTGACCCCAACCATAAAATTATTTTGTCAATACTTCACAACCGTAATTTTGCTACTTTATGAAATGTAAATATTTGATATGCAAACCCTACTAGGGTCGCAGCCCGCAGGCTGAGAACCACTGTTTTACACAATTTCCCCCCCATCCTGGTGCTAGGGATTAAACCCAGATCTTATGCATGTTAGACAAGTAACTCTGCCACCGAGCTTCATCTCCCGCCCTGCCTACTGCCCCCGACAATAAAACAAATCACATAATAATTTCCAGAATTGAGTAAAATTATTTCTTAAGCACAGTATTGTTGATACATTACACCTTCTGATGGTGAAAGTTTAAATACGTTTGTGTCTGTGTGTGTGTGTGTGTCTGTGTGTGTGTGTGTGTGTGTATGCATCCACCAACACACACAGCTAACGACTTTCAATACATTTACTTACTTACTTACTTACTTATTTGTGGGCGTGTGCATGTGTATTGCTCTCCCTTTCCACAATGTGGGTCCTCAGATTGTTACACTTGGCAGCAAGTACCCATCAAACCATTTTGGTGAGCCCGCCAATGGGTTTTGTGACACCACTTCACAGTAATGAGTAACTGTCTGCACGTTCCTTTCTAGTAGCATGAATTGTAACATTTAATGCTAAAAAGCTAGCATTAAAACCAAAAGAAAAAGGAAGTTATCTCATCTACAGGACAAAGGAGAAGTCACACTGAGCAAGAGGCCATCTGGATGGACTGTGTCCTTGTGACTCTCAGACACGGGCAGGCCCTATGCTCACTTCAGTGGCCACCAAGCGAGACACTCACAAAGAACGCTACTATTTTCTTTCTGCTTGTAGGAGACAGGCTGGCTCTGAACCGACAACCTTCCTGCCTCTGTTTCTTGACAGATGCAATTATAGGGGTACATTGCCATGCTCTGCTCATAAAGTAAACCCCCTTTATAATCATCTATCTTTACACCATATTATACGTGACATATGATATGGTAAAAAGAGGGAGGGCTTTCTTGACAAAACCAGAAAGAAAACAGTAATTTGGAAACAATCGCCAACATGTACGGCCCAGCATGAAAGAAAACTAGCTATGATTAGTGCCTCTATCAACCATTTTTTTAAGCCAGCTAACTAATTAGTGCTAGGGGTTTTGCAAATGCCAGCTATGAGCTCCACCATACACACTCAGCTCATGATTAGTCAGCAGAAATAAAAAAGGTGCTATCCACATGCTGGAAAAATAAGAAAGAGAGTAATATGAAGATTTAATCAGACTTTAAAAATCATTTTAGATGATCACTGTAAGAGAAGAAAATTCAGTGATTTAAACGAATGGTTAATGATAATGGACTCCTCAAAATGCCAAGTCATCTGGGAATTCTATATCAAACGCATTATGGGCCTATTTACGACTCTGAAAAAAGGATTCCACGTTAGAAATTACTAGGTGCCTTCAGCTTACTGGCTGTGAGGGTGCAGACTGGAAGAGACATGACTTCAGCATGAACACTCCCAGGGTCCAGAAAGACCAACAGCTGAGAAATGAGACCTCCAATTCCAGAGCCGGACTGGCACAGAATGAAACTTTCTGAGGTGATGGTAAACACTCAACTCACCACCAGAAGTCTAAAAACAGAACAGCGAAAGAAAATGGGGCATTTTTAAACAAATGTATCACAGTGTGTTATTAAAGAAACGCTACAGCTGCTAACTGAAACCTGCAGCCACGGGAAGATGAAAACACACACACGAGAGGGTGGTCCTCCTGCTCCCGTCTGATGCCACTGCTGCCAGGGAAGGAGAGCTCCCATGGCATGGCGCCTACATGCAGCTCTCTCTGTGCCATACTGGGTCAGTGGCGATGAGGTGAGCGACACTGGGAAGGGCAGGCCACGTGGCCTGGAGGCAAAACTGACCCCAGAATGACCCCAAACCACAACAGGTCTCAAGAATACCAGATAGCTCACAACTGTGATCCTGGCAGGGCAGGACAGCTGTGAGCTCAAGATGAACCCAGTCTCTAAGGGTGGAGGGAGGGGAGAAGGAGAGAGAGGGAAAGAGGGAGGAGAGTGGGGGAAGGGAAGAGAGAGGGAGGAAAAGGGCAAGGGAGAGAGGGAGAGGGAGGGCTGGGGGAGGGGAAGGAGGGGGAGGGAGGGAGGGGAAAGGAGGGAGGAAAACAAGAACAGGCTGTCTCAGGAGTTCTGAAGGTTTCACTGGGAGTTCCTGGGTAAATGATGAAATAAGGAAGAGAAAAGTCTTCATTTTGACCCACAGGATTTTAGCTGAGAGCATACAGCTAAGGAAAATGAATGACCTCATTCTATCTGAAATGACTTACAACAGGGAGCTTACAGAGAAAGCTGCACAATGCCTTATGGAAGCCAAAGTCCCGATTGCTCCTTCAGGAAAGGAGGGTCGGGGTGACTTACTGACAGGTCTGCAGTGAGGGCGTAATTGTCTGTTTTCCCTTTAATGCTGTGCACATTCCTACAGACCCATTCTGTAATGTTCTTAGCCTTTTTTTCAAGAAGGAGATTAAAATGGTTTGTTTTGTTTTTTGAGACAAGGTTTCTCTGTGAAACAGTCCTGTCTGTCCTGGAACTCACCATGTAGACCAGGCTGGCCTTGAACTCACAGATAGGTCTGCTGAGTGATGGGATCAAAGGCATGCACCACCACTACCACCATCCCAGCAAACTATTTTCTATATACGCTAGTTACAAATTTACTTTCGGTCCAACGCTGTTTCCCCAGCTTTATGACTAGGGTCTCCATGCTCTCAGTAGGTCACGCCAACTGTTTCTGCGGGTTTCTCTAGGACCTTCTTGGCTCCTTTGCTCATCCCTCCTCCCTCCCCACAACTGGATTCCAGGAGTATGGTTCAGTGTTTAGCTGTGGATGTCTGTTTCTGCTTTGAACAGCTACTGGATGAAGGCTCTAGGAATGGTAACCAAGGTAGACACCAATTTCATTATAGGGGAAGGGCATCAATGGCATTTTCTCCACCACTGCCTGGATTCTTAGTTGGGGTCATCCCTGTGGATCCCCGAACATTTCCCCTATGCCAGACCTCTCTCCAAACCTGTGCTGTCTCCCTCTATGAAGGCATCTCCTTTCTTGCCCTCCTCTACTCCGCCCCTGTCTCAGTCCTCTTGTTCTCCTCCCCCTCCCCTTCTTCCCTTCCCACCTCCTTCCTCTCCAGGCCCCCCATGCTCCCACTTTGTTCAGGGGTTCTTGCCCCCCTCCCCTTCTTCCAGGGACTATGCAATCTTCTCTTGGTGTCCCCCTTGTTTCCTAGCTCCTCTGGCAGTGTGGACTGTAGACTGGTAATCCTTTACTTATATCTAAAATTCATATATGAGTGAGTGCATACCATGTTTATCTTTTTGTGACTGGGTTACCTCACTCAGGATGGTTTGTTTCCTCTAGTTCCATCCATTTACTTGTTTCCTAGCTCCTCTGGCAGTGTGGACTGTAGACTGGTAATCCTTTACTTATATCTAAAATTCATATATGAGTGAGTGCATACCATGTTTATCTTTTTGTGACTGGGTTACCTCACTCAGGATGGTTTGTTTCCTCTAGTTCCATCCATTTATCTGTGAATTTCAAGATTCCATTGTTTTTTTCTGCTGAGTAGTACTCCATTGTATAAATGTACCACATTTTCTCTATCCATTGAGGGGCATCTAGGTTGCTTCCATGTTCTGGCTGTTACCTCTGAATGTGGGTGCCAGCTAGGAGGCCAAGACAGTCTATGGGACCTCTAACAGTGGAGCCAGTCTTTAACCCTAGAGCACAAATGGACTTTGGGAGTCCATTCCCTTTGGAGGGAAACTATTGCAGCCCAGATACAGCAAGGAGGGCCTAGGCCCTCCCCCAAATGACAGACTTTGAAGGTCCCTGGTGAAGGGCCTCACTATCCCTGGGGAGGAGTTGGGGATGGGTTGGGGAAGATAAGAGGATGGGAGGGCCAGGGAATGGGGGTGATGGATATGTAAATATGAGTAGTAATTAAAGAATTTAAAGAAAAAAAAGAACTAAGTTTTAAAATACAAAGGATAACACAGAAACATACCTGATATAGAGTAAATCTGAAATAAAGAGGTTTGAGAACTATTTCAGAATGGGGCAAGGAGGGATGAAGACTTACAGATGTAAAAGTGGGACAAGAAAACACAGAAATAATTACGAGAGGATGTATCTCAAAAGCGGTAATAAAACAAAAACAAAAACAAATTTACTTTCGTAAGTTTAGAGGTTTACATTCACGTCACAAAGCGTCGATGTCAATCACATGCTCTAAGTGTCTTTTAAAATGTTTCCTGAGATGTAATGGATTCCCATGGACATGGGCAAGAGAAGGAAATCAGATTAGGGAACCAAAACCTTGGGCACCCTCCCTTCTTCCCTCTCTGGCCACAGACACAGTGATCTTGGTGTCCTCAGACACACCTGACTCTGCAGTCACCTCATCCTTCCCCCACACAACCTCGTCTCTTACACGGTAAGTGGAGCGGCTCTCCCGCTCACTCTGTGTCATCCTCCTCTTACTATGAGTTAGACAACTGATGCCATTTAAAAACAACACTGACTAAAACCTCATCTAAAACCTTCATCAAAGCAACTCTGAAACTTGAGACCAACCAGTCTCCTTTGTCTTGATTGTGATTTTCCGTGTAACGGCCCCATTTTAGTCACCAAGGAAGGAACATCAAGCTATACCTGATATGGGTAAAAGGACGCTAGACACAGGTGTGTGTGTGACCCACAATCCGCACCTGACTTCTTTTTTCCTGTTTTTTCTTCCATTCAAAAAAAGAGGGGAAACCAGGGAAAGGAGGTAAAAAAAAAAAATTACACTTACAAGTCCACTTATGGCTACAATCCAGATGTAGGAACCAGAGGTGAAAAGCTACAAAAGAAAACAAAAGGCAACTAAAAATGAAATCCAGCTGCCAGCCACAGCATACTTAACATCACACACTGCAGTGGTGACCACAGGAGTTACATACACATTAATCATGCAAGGCATAATTTAGGGAAACGGTTTACAAGAGAAGGAAGAGCAATTCTGCTTGTATAAAACAAAACAAAATAAAATAAGATGCTGATCTTTTCACCGGAGTCTCTGGGCTTTCTGTATCGGATAACACGTGTGTTATCACAACTGGCCCCTGACATGCAAAGAAAAATAACTGAATTTCAAGCATATTCTCACTTTCAATGGGACCTTAGCCGACTTACAGTAAACAACTACAAATAAATAATTAGCATTCACAATGTAGAAGCAACAGTCGTTGTCTATACTTGGCGCTAGGTAATGGTCTGTAACGGCTGTTCATACAACTCCCTCGTTTTAATTTCTCAACATTGCTTTGTGTGGTACATTCAGAATGGAGAACTTGCCAGCATCTAAGTCCACGCCCCATGGTATCCTTTTCAGGGACAGAACCCTCACTCTGGATAGCTGCAGCGGCAGGCCCTCTGCAAACATTAACGCTTTAGTTTAGGGTTTGTATGGGATTCCTTCCTGGGTGTGTGGGCGAGTGGGTCTCTGGTTCTTATGCCTTCTCTTGGGGCTCTTTTCCTTTTGTTGGTTTGCCTGGTCCAACTTCCTTGTGATGTTTTTTTTATTTTATTTTATCTTACTATATTTTATTTTGTTAAAACAGTCAAATAAAGTTGTTAAGACTGAAACAGTTTTAACTGATGCGAAAGTATGAAGGGCATTAGAACTAGACCTCATGAAATTTCTCCCTTTGTTTTCCAAAGTTTTATCTGAGAGACATGTTCAAGGCTCTAAACAAAACAATAAAAATCACAAAGCATCTCTAAGTGTCCTGTGAGCATAAAAGGATCTGTGGCTTCTTGCTTAGTTTTGGAAGGTTCGGGGGGAGCTGCAGGAACATGGAGAGAGAAAGGGGATGGATGCTGAATCAGCACAGCTCAGATGCACTGCTGACAACTGTGCTAGACGGAAATTCAGAGTTCTGCACAGGTGACACAGAAACACAGAACACAGACAGACAGACGGACGTGCAGGGAAAGGAGGCTGTGGGCTTTGCTCCAGTGCCCACTCACAGGGAAGGAGAAGTTACTGCCACTGTCCACTTGACCTTCCTTTCTTTCTTTCTTTCTCTCTCTCTCTCTCTCTCTCTCTCTCTCTCTCTCTCTCTCTCTCTCTTTCTTTCTTTCTGGCAGGACGCTAGGCTGCTGTACCCAGCTCTCTCTTAACAGGGATGAAGACTGTGTATGTGGACAAGCATCTGCTCTTATGAGAGGAGGAATCCAAAACTAGCCAACATTTCCTAGAGCCAGGCACTGTTCTCCAGGCATTTCATAGCCTCACTCAGATTTCTCATCAGCCAGCGAGGAGAGCACACGGGTGCTTGCCCTGGGCCATGCAGCAACAGGAGGTGTGACTGGGGTACTCTGCCCCATGGCTCTGTACTCCTCATCCATTTGCCTCTCATACCCAAGTCACATAGCCTGCCATCTGTCAGTAAAAGAATAACTTCTTAGGTCTCTCACATCCCTCGCCTTAGAAGCAAGCTTTGGCTTGCACTCTGAAAGGGTGGAAATGCGCCTCCAGGCAAGTGAGCACCTCACACTGACTCCATCTTCCAGCCACCATCCGATGGCTTACATTTGTGTCACCAAACAAGCACTCGGGCTCTTATGATGATTAAAGCCACTTGCCTGCCCATCCATCTGTCTACCTAATAGTCCTGGCTTCAAGTACCCACGGTGGGGAGAGGGAAAGCCAGAGAAGTATGCATGAAAGGAGCTAGACTTGGGGGCAGGGCTCAGTGCATTAGTGCCTGCCGCACAGGTCCACAGCACATAACAAGTCAGCACAGTGAGGTGTGGGTGTTACCCCGTCACTAGGAGGGTGGAGGAACAGAGCTGATGAACTCCAAATTCAGTGAGAGACTCCAGCTCAAGAAACAAAGGTGTCAGGCAGTCAAGAAACACATCAAGTCTACCTTTGGTTTCCATACATATGTATGGAAACCCCCATGGTAACAAGTGGAACACAGACACACAGACACACAGACACACA